GACACAAACACAGAGCTAGTTTTATTCTGTGGTCTTCTATTTAAACTTTACATATTGGACGTGCAGCACTCTCATAATTAAACTAAGTCATGGTCTCTGAATAGCATTTTAAAAGTCTCTGTCTGCATGTTTTCATCTGTTGGGTAATTTAATTATCCTATCATCAGCTCATTAAATAATGAAGCCATACAGGGAAAGGAGATCTTTGTTGCCCAGGTTTAATCTTGCAAGATGAGCAGCGTTGAAATACAAGCATCAAAACATTACATGGCGCTCCGTCTCCGAGGTCTGTTCATAGAGAAAGAGTTAACAAAAGCCGTTATCAGATAGAGGCGAGGTCAAGACAAGTCTTAGGGCTTTGAAGTTTATCAGATGTGCAGGCTCCACTTCTCCAAGACAAAACAACTCTAACACACACACATTGTTTATGTAACATTTGACATTAGTAAGTGAAAAACATCCTTGACCTTTACATCCCTATCATCATCCCACTCCTATAATGAGAAATACAAGTAGTGAGACATTCATTTTTTACATAACCCTGCTGTGTTTTTTTTAATAAGTCAGTAAAAACAGCTCACAGCAGAAGATTGAGGTTAAAGATACGTTTCCAGTGTATCATGATGGAAACAGCTTGTTAGTTTCACAGAGCTGTTTTATGCATGTGAGTAAAGACTAAACTTATGATTAATCAGGCACAAACACAATTCTTTTCATTAATTTTTTTTGCAGTTAGTTGCATAATATGAACACAAACATGTGACCAAACACGCCACGTTTGACTTTATTACCTAAACTACATATTGTAAAACATTAATACACAATTAATCTTGACTTTTAATTAAAGATGCACAATCATGTTTTTTTTTTTTTAAACTAACTCTAAGTTTGAACCATCATTTTTATTGTGATGGTTCAAACAGAGTCAGAACAAAAAATGCCCCAATTCCAGTACAGAAGAAGCTTGATGATGGTAAATCTGTCATTAACCAGTCAAAACTGACTGGACGCTGGCAAAGAGCCTGTCTTGTGTCTCTAGTTGACAGATTGAAGTTTTCACTCACTGCATGAAGTGTTCACTCTGTGTGTGTTGGCTTCAGCATGTTGCTGCTGCACGATGCATCAAGTGTTTCCTAATTCTCTGGTGTTTGTCGTCCACTTTTTGGCACTTTCTTTCCTCTGATCCTTCATCTCCTGTTCCCACTCTGCGTGTCTCTGTCTGTGATCTCCTGTCTTTTTCCAGACGAGGTGTATGCTCAGAAGCTAAAGGGCAAAGCTCTCAGCGAGGAGCTGGACCTGGCCCTCAACGACATGACTACACTGTAGATGCTCTCCTCATCCTCTCTGCACCTCCTCCCTGTCTCAACTCCCCTCCGCCTTTCAGCAGTTTTCTTCCATTCCGCAGCAATATTTACGACTCGACAATTTGATATTCAGGCACCGTTCATGACCCTACACAAACAGGACTGGACTCTGTTTCCTCTCTCCTTTTTTTTAAAAAAAAGAGAATTTGCTGCTTGCCCTTCCGCTGCTGCACGTTTCCTGATTTGAACTTAATGTCCTCATTTAGTAAAATATTTATTCAAATCTGTTTCCCTTTCCTTTCTGTAATAAAGATTTAAAGCTCTCTTGATTGTTCTGCTTCCTCCCAATGTCCTTTCTTTCCGTTAGGGTTGCTGCCTGTTTTTACAGTTTAGAATATGGGGTCATTATAATAAATGACCATACAGTAAACATCTTCATTTGATCCAAAGCGTTCCTCAAAATGTTATGTGAAGGTTCATACTTGAACAAGTTTTTGCTGCTTTTCAAAGTAAAAGGTTTACATTACTTTTGGAAGCATTGTAATCTAGATAAGATTGTAAAAATGTACGTCAGAAGGACATGCTGAGCTAGAGCAAACGTTATAAACAGGTGCTTAGGTCAGGGGTCTGCAAACTGCGGTTCTTGGGCCACATGCAGCTCTTTAGTCTCTTGTCTGTGGCCCTTTGAAGCTGTGACCAAAATTAACCAGATATTTCATGTTAGTGCTTGTTATAACCACAAGAGAAAAGGCACGTTTTAGCAGTTTTTTCTCTCAATTTGCTGCACATATGTGAAGGACACTACTAATAGAAGAATAGAAGCATGTTAATTAGATTTAGTTCCTTCGTTCATCCAAATTCCAGACTAACAGTGGAGGCTTTCTCTCAAATCCCAAATTCTTTGGAATATTTTAGGACAAGTTGCTTAAAATAAATTTGGTGAGTCCATTTATTAAAAAAAAGAAGTCAATGCAAATAAAACTGTGTTTTAAAAAAATCAGTAAATCACACTACAAGAAAATGGCCTAATTTTTATGCACACTTTAAATGTATGCTTTATAACATCAAAGTGGGATACGCAATTCATTTTTCCTCAGGTAAAAGGACTCGCATAGGCCTGCAGCTTCCGTGTTTTAATTTTCACCAGATTTGGTGTAAACTAATGTTTTCCTTCTTTGCATGAATATG